TATTTCTTCCATTCAGTAGCTCACCTTTTCAGTTTCCTGATAGTGCCTTTCAAAGCACAGACGGTTTTGATTTTGATGAAGTCCAGTTAATCTATTTTTGTCTTTTGGTTTCACATATAAACTTGAAGTAAGGCAGAGGAGACATTGTATTTAAACGATGCCAAATCCACTCATGAAGATATACACCTATGTTTTCTTCTTAAGTCTTTTATAGTTTTAGCTTTTACATTTTAAGTTAACTTTTATGTATGGTCTGAGGTAGAGGTCAAATTTTATTCATTTGCATGTGGATATCCAGCTGTCCCTGGACAATTTGTTAAAAAGACTACTCATATCTGATTTAATTGTTTGGCACCCTTGTCAAAAAGCAGTTGGCCACAAATTGGGCTTAGGTTTGGTTTCTCCCTTCTACTTCACTGATGAATAAGTCTGTCCTTATGCCAGTACCAAATCAAATTTTATGAGTCATCTTGCATAGTACCAGCTGTTTTATGTAATAAAAAAAAAAGTCAGTGTAGTGGCATGTTTTTACCTCTACTTTCATGGAGATTTCTTGTTTCTTGATAAAGCTTATGGCCAGCTTATGATTTGCTGACTCTGTGACAGTAGGCTTACAACGATAACACCCATTCCTTTTTGTCTGCATTTAAACCTTCAGCCTCTAACCCAGTGCCTCCCACTTCACTTCCATTTCCATGAAATCCTAGTAACAGGATCTGCTGACTTAGCCATTTCTTTCATTGTGTTTAACTCATAATTCATAGACTTGCCAGTAGCTTTCACCACGTGGGGAGGAGAAGATTAAAATCTGGACTGTCACCTTTCCTCTTCAGAAATGCCTGACTTTGAAATTTCAAATTTTATTTTATTTTTAAATATTTACACTAATAAAAGAGAAACATGGTAATTAGTGTATGACCGCTACCCTTCCCATTGGCTAATCAGCATATCCTTATACAAATTAACTGTCAGCCAAGATGGCGGCCAGCAGCCATGCACTGAAGCAAACAGGGAGGCTTGCTTGCTCCAGTGACTGCGGACTCCAACGTTCCCCCCCCCTGACTTGCGGGCCACTCAGCTGCAACTCTAAGCAACTATGTTGCAAATATAGAAGCTAAACAAAACCCCAGAAACCGGCTTTCAGTTAGCCAGGCTTCAGCCAGCCAGACCACAAGATTGTATCAAATACAGAAGGAAAAACAAAGGTCAGAAACTGGCTTTCAGCATCGAGGACTCAGAGCTAAAGCTGGCCCAGAATAGAAAAAAAAATAAGAAAAAAAGGAGCAGTTGGGAGCTTCAGTCACCCGCCAGCCTGAAAACGGCCCTCAGCCCCTCAGCCAGACTGGCCAGGCACCCCAGTGGGGACCCCCACCCTGATCCAGGACACCCTTCAGGGCAAACCAGCCAGCCCCCAAAGGGTAATATGCCTCCTGGGACCGGATCAGTAGAGCACCGAGGATCCAGGCCCCGGGATCTACGTGACAGGGGGCAGCGCCCAAACCCCCTGATCGCCCTGCGGCTCTGTGACAGGGGGCGGGGCCACAACCTCCATATCTGACCTGCTCTGTTCATGACAGGGGAAGGCGCCCCAAACCCCTGATCAGCCCTGCTCTGTGCCTGACAGGGCGGAGCTCCCCAAACCACTGATCTCCCTGCGGCTCTGTGTGTGACAGTGTGCAGCGCCCCAACCCCCCGACCTGCCCATTGGCCCTGCTCTGTGTGTGACAGGGTAGAGCCATAAACTCCCCATCAGCCCCGCCTTGACTGTGACAGTAGCGGTGCCCCAAACCCCTGATCGGCCCTGCTCTGTGTGTGATAGAGGGCAGCGCCCCAACCCCGCTCCATGGGCCTTGCTCTGTGTGTAACGGGGTAGAGCCATAACCTCCCCATCGTCCCTGCCCTGAGTGTGACAGGGTGCAGCGCCCCAACCCCCCCAATCGGCTCTATCCTGAGCATGACTGAGGGTGGCATCGCAACCTCCCAATCCGCCCTGCTCTGTGCATGACAGGGGGGAGCTCCCCAACCCCCTGATTGGCCCTGCTCTGTGCATGACAGGGGGTGGCTCCGCAACTTCTCCATCGACCCTGCCTTGAGTGTGACAGGGGGCAGTGCCCCAACCCCCCAATCGGCCCTATCCTGAGCATGACTGAGGGTGGCATCGCAACCTCCCAATCCGCCCTACTCTGTGCATGACAGGGGGCAGCACTCCAACTCCCCAATCGGCCCTGCTCTGAGACTGACCAGGGGCTGCACCTAGGGATTGGGTGTGCCCTCTGCCACCCGGGAGCAGGCCTAAATCAGAAGGTCGTTATCTCCCGAGGGGTCCAAGACTGCGAGAGGGCACAGGCCTGGCTGAGGGACACCCCCTTCCCCCAGAGTGCACAAATTTTTGTGCACCAGGCCTCTAGTATATATATACATACATACATACATATATGTATATACATATATGTAGATAGTCGATATATTACTTTTATTGGAGGTCAGGGCATTAGATAAGCCACCTCAGCACTCTTTTTCAGAGAGGTCGGGGGGAGAGAGTAAGGGAAAAGAGACATCAGTGATGAGAATTCATTGATGGGCTGTCTCCTAAATACCCCACTACTAGGGATTGAGCCCACAACCCAGGAATGTGCCCTTACCTGAATGGAACCCATGACCCTTCAGTCTGCAGGCTGTGCTCTATCTACTTACCCAAACCAGCTAGGGCTGAAATCTCAAAATTTTAAAGCCAATTTGTTTCCTATGGAGAAACACTGAGGTATAACATACAAACAAGCGTGAAGTAAGCTAGAGAAATTGTATTTAAATGGTGCCAAAAGGCATTGCAGTTGTTTTGCCCCTGAGATTTAAAATGATTTCACAATCCTCTCTGTTTCCTCACTGAGGAAAGGAAAGCTTAGTCCTGACCTTGGAGTGCTTCTCTGTGGCCCTTGGCTGTTCCCTCTGAGACTTTGCTCTGTCCTTTTCATAAAAAATGGCCTGTGCTTGCAGCTCTTTTTACAGCCTGCGTCCTCCCTGTGGAACATCTAAAGCCCAGAGGCCCTTTTGATTGTGTACTGTCTCGGTCTCCCTTCAGGAGGCCAAGCTAGCATTCTCTTAGGAACTTTGAGTGTCTGTCCAGTTAATTTTATTGGGGTTCATGGCATCAGAAAAGCCACCTCACCACTTGTTTTCAGATCAGCTCTTCACCTGGGCTTCCTGGAGGTGTTATAGAACAGTGCCGTTAAAATTCTTACATTCTGAAAATCCTTTGAGGCACCACGTAAATGTTTCTACGGTCTTAAGAGTTTTATGAGTTTTGACTTCATCCTTCGAACATGTTTTCTGGACACCCTGGATTTGATGTTAGCCCAGAAGCCATTTCTTTATTTTAGGATTATTTGACAATTGGACATGTAGGAGAAGGTATAAACAAGAAATCAATATTTTAACCCGGTAAATGGGGTCCTTTTATATTTATTTGTCTATTTTTAGCTTATGTTTCTCATCGATTTCACTTTCAGCTGCTTCCTAGTGAGAATCCTTTCAGTGTCATTGTGTTCACTTGCCCAGAAGCCCTTACTGTCAGCCTCCTCAGGGGCCATCAGGCCTCCACTCACCCTTTCTTGGAGGCCCTTTTGGTTTTCATTCTCACGCTTCTCTACATTATGTCGGGTTCCACCTGCCGCCTGTTCAGAGGTGCTCCCATACATGTGTGTGTTTCCTTTTTAGTGTCAGCACTCTATTTATAATGTCAGTATCTGTGCCAGTTACTTATTGCTGCTCAGTAACCACCTCCAAACCTGGTGTCTTAAAGCAGCATTTACTTGTTCACAAATCTGCAGTGAGGCCAGCTCTTTTCTTTTCCACTTACCATCAGCTAGGATGACTTGAAGCTGGGAAGTGGAATCATCGCTAAAGGCTTGGTCATTCACGGGTTTCTCAGGTGCAGCGGGCTTTTGGCTGGGACGTTCGCTGGGGCAGTCTCAGCTGGACACCTGTGTGAGGATGACCATGTGGCTTGGGCTGCTTCGTTCTTCACAACATGGTGGCTGGGTTCCCAGGGTGAGCTTCCCTGGGGAGAGAGTCCTATGGCACCCAGACATAGCAGTCACACAGCAGTCACCATATCCTATTCACCAGAACCCAGGTAGCACTGAGGCCAGTACCTATTTCCTGGACAAGTGCCAGAGAATCTGGAGACGTGCTTCAAAAACTGGACATCCGTCACCTTGTCTTACCAAATAATCATTGTATCTGAAGGAAAGTAGTTCTTCCCAAGTCATGATCACTGACATTCCAGCAAGTTTGTTGTTGTTGTTGATGATGTTGTTTTGTTTACTATGTTTCCTTAGTTTGTGGGAAGTAACAGAGAATTTCAAGATAGCACTATTGGATTAAGCCCCATCCCCATTTTTTTTTTATTATGAAAAATGTAGGGCTCATCTCGCTAAACTTTTACAGTGAGAGATGTAATTTCTCAGTAACTCGGGGAATCATTTCTTTTTGGAATGCAATTCAAATTAGCATCAAACTTCACAGTTCAATAAAAGACATATGACATTAGAGTCTATATTTATAAGATTAATTAATTAGTCTCATTTCCAAAGTCTTATTTTGTGAGGCATTTTTTGACTCCGTCCTGAATATCTGAATACCATATCCCTAAAACTTTTGTGTAAGATTATGAAGTGTTAAGATGGGGGAAGAGATATGAGACTTTCTATTCAGGAGCAATGCATAGTCATTTTGTGGAGGAAAGACATGAAACAGTCATAGAAAAAAAGAGTATAAATCAAGGGCAGAAGAGATGTTGTGTGGCAAAGATGACAACAGTAAATACATTTTTGTGACTCCTGGTTGTTTTAACTTTGATCTTGATTCTGAGCAATTGAAGGTTTCACATTCTAAGACCCTACCAGAGTATAGGTAACATTTTATTGCCACTGAATTCATTTCAAAATTTCATACTGGTGTCCACACCTTCATAACCAAACTATATTCTTTTATTCATGCAGAATGATGAGCTTATAGCAAAACTGCAACCATCATCTTCAAAATGTATACGTCTGGATGAGGAAAAGACACCTCAACAGGAGTTATCAATGGAAGCACTTCTAAAGCGACGTGAAGAACTAAAGGATAGAGTAAAGAAGGCAAAACAAGAAGCAGTAAACCTCAGAAATATAGAAAAGAATATGGTAGAAATCTGTGAATTAGAAGACTATAAAAAGAAGCTTGAAGAAAGAGCAATACGGGATGTAGCAGACAAAGTAGAAAAAGTCAATTCACTTTTACAGGTTAATTTTTTTGATTTATTGTGCTTTAATTCATTTCACTGCAAATTACCTTTTCGATAAATACAGTATTTTTGCCTCTCCTTTACTCCCTTTAATAGCAATTTATTTTGTAGATTTCTGGAAGGAAGGTGGCATTTGTTTTTCCTTTTCACTATTTTAGTTTCCAACATTATCACTAAATTGATCTTTCCAAATGATCCTTCATTTTAGTTTTAAGACCAGTTGATGTAAAATAAGACTATTAGGAAGAAAAGGTAAAAAACGTGATTTCAAAATTGTACCATACTCTTGAATTAAGTTATATTTTTTAACTTTTAATATCTTATACTGATATATTATTCTTTGAATTATCAGATTACATGAGTACTAATAGAAGAATGATAAACTTTATAACTCAGATTTAATTCAGTGGACATTGATGATAACTATTTTAAATTTCAGCTTTTTTCACACTTAAAGCTGATCTCTGAGTTGATGACTCAAAACTAAAGAAAACAAATATAAGTGTTCAGCTTATAATTACTTTAAGAATGTATCCTTTTTATTTGTTGTAGAGACAAAGAGCATCTCAAGAAACGTCAGAGCAGATGATAAATGATCAGGCTTCAACAAGTCACTTGGAACTCAGAAATAAAGAATTGGAATCAGAAATCTCTAAAGTGCAAACTTCTCAAGATGATATGGAAAGAGAATTGAAAAAATATGTGCGACTCTACCAAGAAGAATTGGAAGGCAGAAAGTTACTGGAAAATCAGCTAACTGAGTAAGTCAAATGCAGAATCAGAGAAAATAAATTTAATTCATTAATTAGCCTCTAAACTTTAAACATAGTTACTATTGGGCCAGGTTCATAGATTAGTAGGGCGTGAAAGCCAACTAGGTCGTTTAACTTTGGAAAGTGATGTTAGTAAATAAACTTACCTTTCAAATGTCCCTCTAAGATGATTTCATCTCTCCCCCTTTTTTGCTTTTACCTGCCTTTATTTTCCCCACTTAATATTTCCATGTAGTTATCTGGGTCTACTACTAGTCTTTAAGCTGAGTGTCTTGAAGCTCTAAAATTTAAACAGCGATATTATTATAAAACTAGTGGCCCAGTGCACGAAATTAGTGCCCAGGGGAGGAGGGGTTATCCCTCAGCCCAGCCTGCACCCTCTCCAATCTGGGAACCCATTGGGGGATGTCCGACTGCCAGTTTAGGCTTGATCCCTGTGGGAAATCCCGACAGGGATCGGGCCTAAATGGGCAGTCAGATAACCCTCTCGCAATCTGGGACCGCTGGCTCCTAACTGCTCACCTGCCTGCCTGACTGATAGCCCCTAACCACTCTGTCTGCCGGCCTGCTCGACCTCAGCTGTCCCCCCACCAGCCTGATAACCCCAACTGCCCTCCCCTTTTGGCCTGATTGGCCCTAACCACCTCTGTCTTGGCCCCGCCACTATGACTCTGTCCGGACAGACATCCAGAAGGTCTCCTGGTCTAATTATCGTATTACCCTTTTATTAATATAGAAAGAGGCCTGGTGCATTGGTTGGGGCTGGTTGGTCTGCCCTGAAGGGGGTCTCAGATCAGGATATGGGTCACCTTGGGGGGGGTGGCCGGCCTGGGTGAGTGGCTGGGGTGGTTTGCAGGCCAGCCATGCCCCCATCAGGGTGGGGGACTTCACTGGAGGGCATGGCCAGCCTGGGTGAGGGGCTGAAAGCCATTTGCAGGGTGGCCATGCCCTCATCGGGGTGGGGGACTTCACTGGAGGGCATGGCCAGCCTGGGTGAGGGGCTGAAAGCCATTTGCAGGCTGGCCATGCCCTCATCAGGGTGAGGGTCCCCGCTGGGGGAGCATGGCCAGCCTGGGTGAGGAGCTGAGGGCCGTTTGGGGGCGGTTTGCAGGCTGGCCAAGCCTCTGGCTTTGTCCGAAGGTCTTCAGAAGGTCTCCGGTCTAATTAGCATATTACTTTTTTATTAGTATAATTGCTTGTCAGAAGCCCCCTAAATAGAAATAGTTAAGATAAAAACTTAAACACAAAGGGTTAAGTTACTCCAACACATTCTGGTACTTGGTATATTTACTTTCTTGATTGTGAACTTTGTTATTATCAATAGACTAGAGGCCCAGTGCATGAAATTGGTGCACAGATCGGGTCCCTAGGCCTGGCCAGCAATGAGAGCCTATCAGGGCTTTTGGGCTGCCAGCCTGGGCCTTCCTTCATTCCTCACCACCCCCTGGTGGTCAGCACACATCATAGCAAGTGATCAAATGCCCGGTCTTTGGTTGAACTCCCAAGGAGACACTTTGCATAACTAGAGGCCCAGCAAGCAAAATCACACAAAACCCAGACCCGCCATGCCGGCAGGACCCCAGGCCCACCGTGCGAGAGTAGCTCACTGCCTCTGCCCCACAGGCCTCAGACCCCGACTCTGTGCCAAACGGCTGGCAGGCTGGGGGCAGCTACTGAGAGGTGCTCCATGCACCTTCTCGTGATGGGTTGTTTGGTTGTTCTGGCGTTCCAGCATTATGGCCACGGGCCTTTTATAATATAGACAGATGGCCTCTAGAGCTGTTTTCATTCATTTGATCACCAGCCAGGATATCTTGTTCTCCCTTACAGGTTGTTGTTCTAAATAATGCCTGGGTGTTAAATGATTAATATCTCCAAGGTAATAAGTGTATTGTACAAGGGTGGTGAAGGCAAATGCTTGACAATGTCTTTGAGGGTTTTTTTTTTAATCTCTAAAGAGGCTACTAAGTACGTCCAAGGGCATCTTAAAAGGTCTTGTAAGTACAGCCCTTCCAAAGGCAGCAAGTATTACCTGATAAGCCGTCTGCATCACTGATAGCCTCCCCACTTTGGATTAAGTACTTAGTTAGGAACCCCCTCCCCCCACTGCCTGGAAACATAAGTACTTTTTTAGAAAAATTAAGAACCTGTACTTGAATAGAGCAGATCTTCTCTGACACATTTTCATTGCGAAATGCTATTTAATGGGCATTTCCACTTACTGTCCTGGCTACTTTAAACAATTGCAAGTCACTTAGAGAAAAATAAAATACTAAGCATTTGTTGTTTACAGTTTTCCTAGGATTAAGGAGAAGCTAGCAGAAGTCAGCAACAAACTTTTCTGGGAGAAACAGCTCAGCAAGAGAAATTCCATTCCAAGAGAAAACTTGGGGATTCCTACCTCAAGTCCATGCACTTCAACTTACCACAGGTTAGTTATATTATCTTTTTTCCTCTTGCGTTTCAGATTTCTGATACAATTCTTGTGTTTCATTTGGTGAAATTCCGAGTTGCTTAATTGACTAGTACACACTAATAAAAAGTCTTAATTATTGTGCTAATGTAGAAAGGAGACAGAAATTTTATAATCACTTTTAAGTCCCTGGATGTCTCATTTGCAAGAGATACCTATCATTAACTTTATTCAATTACTATGCCTAAAGTGACACATTTTAAACTTCTTAAAAAGCTGCCTGTCACTTTGATTTTAGAAATTATATATTCTTGTCTAATAACCAGTGGTGTACTTGGAGATGCTTTGGCTTACTTTCTAATGGATTTTAAATTGGTGATGGCTCATAACCATTTTTAAGTTTTGCTGAACCCCAACTTTTCCACCCCTAACCATAAATGAATGATTGACATTTAAATATTTAACCATTTATGGATATTTGCTACTTAAATGAAATGGAGATAAATCATTTTAATGAATTAAATAACTTGTAGCACTAAAAGGTTAAATTTCTCTCTTTTAGTGAAAATGTTTGTCATCTTCTTAGGTCAAAGGGCAGTGTTAATTGCTATTTACTTCAACATTTTTATTCCAATTGTTGTAAAATGTCTTGCTGAGCAGCTGTCATTCATAAAATAGTTAAATTTAGCAAATATTTGAATTTTTATTTTTAAATTTATGTATTAATATTTGAATTTTTAAATTAAGTGTACTTATGTCTGTTTATCTGGACAGCACTTGAATGATTGATGACTAAGATGGCAATGATAGGGAGTCTTGAAATAGCAACTAGCTTTCATTGTGTATCAGTGCTATTAAAATATTCCTTCTTCATCTTATTATTGACTTCTTCAGCAGCAGAATTTCTGTTTGGTTCTTTTTTATACTTCTCATCTGTTTGGTAAAGTACTCCTTCTGTTCATTCATTTCATTCCTGAGCTCGTTGAACTGAGTTTTCTTGTATCTCGCTGAGTTCCTTCATGACTATTTTGCTATTTTGATTTCTCTGTTCATTTAGATCACAATCGATCACAATCGTCCAGTATTCTGAGTTTCCTTCTGGAGAATTATCATTTTCTTTCTGTGTTAGTGTTCAGGCTGCTTGATGGGTTGTTCCTCTGCTGGCACATTTGAAGTGCTGAACACTTTTCTTAGGAATGTTGTGATTTTCACAAGTCAGCAGGTTGATAAATTCAGGTCTTTCTTTTGTTTTCCAGTAGATGGTCTTATAGTGCAGTTTTTCTTTTCTCTTACCTGTACTACTGAAGCTTGGGGAGGGTGTGCAGTGAGTCAAGGTGTTTGAGGCTTACCCTTGGACATGGGAGTGGCAGCCTGGGTAACTAGGGTGGTGGGTGCCAGTGCTCTATCCTGGTCGCCTGGGCCTCAGGGCACCCCATGGTGGTAGGTGTGGGTGTGGCCAGTTGAGGGGAGCCAGTTTGTGAGCCCACTGAGCTGCTGCCTCATTCCCTTTGGCCACTGGCAGCACTGTGCTGTGTCCTGGAGGCTGGAAACTTGGCTCTGCTGCTGCTACTGGTCTGTGGTGGTGTGAGCACAGCTGCAGCTGGGGAGGGATCTGGATTTGGGGAGGAGAGGGACTCCTACTGGGCAGTGGTGTGGGCACTGCACCCTGCCTCCCCCACCAGTACTGTGTTTGCAAGGGCTGTAAGTTCAGCCGTGTCCTTGGAGAACTGCAGTAGGGGCCTGTCCCTGCTCCTCTCTCCATCCTGCCTGTCCTGCACATCCCAAGACGCCCACTATCGAGGTGAGTAGAGGTGCCTTTGTTGGGTTCTAGATGTTCCACTTGTTGTAGATTTAAGAGGAGACACACTTTGTCATGATGCTGACGTCACACACTGAATACCCATTTTAATCAATGCACGATGGTTTATGGTTTTCATTATTTTTTATGGTGTTTTTCATGCAGGGAAAGATAGCACAGGCCTGTGCTAAATGAGACTTCAACCTCTTTTTCTTAGTTTGCTTCATCATAACACAACATAGAAGAGCAAAGCTAAGAATTTCTAGACAGCCTTTAGGCCAAATACAGTCTCAGTTGTTACAAATTTGTAAAACTGGGCTACTGGTACAAAAAAAATCAAATGCTTTTGTAAATTGTTAAGCAAAACTATGATGCAGACTTGAAATGTCCTCACCAGAAAATCAGAAAATGTCTCATTTTGCAAAATGAAGAGGGAAAAGAATGTAAATGCAGAAGCAATGCAAGGGAAGATATTTATGGAAATGTTTTTGTTTCATATTTTGGGAGGAATGAGGTGCTTACTCTTAGTATTTCTATATACATTGAAAAAAATAGTTGATTTTAAACTTAACATTGTAGTTTCAAGGTATACATAGTTTCCCTGAGGGGCATTGGTTTGCCAAATCATGCTAGACTCAGAAAGAGAGAGTCTGAAGCACCAATCTATCAAGATATAGAGATAGGCCGCCAAATTTCTATAGCAGTTGGGGTTTACAAAATTCTCAGACTTGTGGAAAGAAGGTGCCTTGTAGAGTCACTGGGAAGGTAATTATTGCCATTAGGAAAAAAACTAATTCTATGAGAGATGGTAACATGCCTAAAATAATAGAAAGGGGTGGGTTTGGGGATAGGGTATTATAAAACAAACAGACTTCTAAAGATTATTGAACTATGATTCTAAAGAATAAATGTTACAAATACATCAATATTGAATGTGTTTATCAATCCCCTTTATTTGCAAACTTTAAGCATTTTGAACTATAACTACTGTAGTGCTCTGTCTTATTCGGCATTGTTTTTCTAACTTTAAGGACAATCCTATCTAATAATAGACAAGCATGGTAATTAACCATACCTCCGACATGCTTCCCATTGGCTAATCAGGGTGATATGCAAATTGACTGCCAACCAAGATGGCAGCCGGCAGCCAAGCAGCTGAAGTGAACAGGAGGCTTGTGCTCCAGTGATGGAGGAAGCCAAGGTTCCCCGCCTGCCTTGCCGGCCTCTGAGCTGCAGTTTAAAAAACACTGTTGCAATTATAGAAGCTAAAGAAAACCCAGAACCTGCTTTCAGCCATCAGAGCTGAAGCAGCAGGATATGCAAATTAACTGCCAACCAAGATGGCGGCCGGCAGCCAGCCAGCTGAAGTAGCTGAGGCCGCAAACTGGAGCCAAGCCTCGGAGCTAAAGCTGGATCTCAGCTCCAGTGACAGCCTGAGCTTGCACTCTAAGCAACAATGTTGCAATTATAGAAGCTAAATAAACTCCAGAAACCTGCTTTCAGCCTTCAGAGCTGGAGCAAGCAGGACCGAAACAATGTTGCAATTATAGAACCCAAACAAACCCAGATCCCTGCTTTCAGCAGCCGAGGTCTCAGAGCTGGAGCCAGCCTCAGAGCTAAAGCCAGCTCTCAGTTCTCAGTTCCAGTGACAGCCATAGAAGGTAAATAAATCCCAGTCCGCAGTCCGGACCCGGATCTGTGACCCTGTTGGGCAGGGGTCAGTGCTTGAGGCTGTCCACGGTCTCTCACCCAGACTGGCCAGGCACCCCAGTGGGAACCCCCACTCTGAAGCAACAAGATGGCAGGATCTGTGACCCTGTTGGGCGGGGGACTGCACTTGAGGCTGTCCGTGGTCCTGGAACCTGGATCTGTGACCTGGCGGGCGGGCAGCAGTGCTTGAGGCTGTTTGCAGTCCCAGGACTGGATCTGTGACCCTGCCAGGCGGGGGGCAGTGCTTGAGGCTGTCCGAAGTCCTGGGACCCGGATCCGTGACCCTTCCTGGCGGAGGGCAGCTCACACAGGGGCGGGTGGGCCAGGGTTGGGCAGGGCAGGACGCCTGGCTTCCGCCCAGCCCCAGTCACTCTGGGCAGGTGAGCAGCGCAAAGAGCCTCCGGACAGGGGAGACAGGCAGGCGAAGGCCTGTACTCCACACATGGCGGTGGTGACAGCTGTGAGCGTGCCAATCAGACCCTACAGGCTGAGCTAAAGTAGTGCCCGCAGGCCCCCAGGAGGGGCTGTGCAAGATCCTCCTCCTGGCCCAGAAGGTGCAGGATCGCAGGGACAGCCACCGTGGCGGGCCAAACTGACGTCCTCCAGGCCACACCACAGGGGTTTGTGGATCTGCAAAACCAGAGGCCTCCCATGTGCACATCCCCCCCTGGCGTGCAAACATCCCCCAGCACACTGTCACCCTCCCACGTCTGCAACAGTTGCAAACCAAGGCGTGCACAAGTTCCCCCCCCTCTCCACCGCACTTCCATCAACCTGGCATGCCTAACACCCCCACAGGATGTGTACACATCCCCACTGATGCACTCACGTCCTTTGGAGAGTGTCTGGGTGTTCTGGGTGCTGAGAGTGGGCGCCTGTGAGATGACAGTGAGAGGGTGGAGTGGTGATGCCCTGTTCCCATGGAGGCCAGTGCAGCTACGAGATCACCTCTGGGGGGTTAATGCAGAAGGTGAGGGGGGAGGATGCAGACAGACACACCTGGTGGGCACGGGGGCCCTCGCTGAGGTGCCTTGGGTCAGCGTTCAAGGTCAAGAACCCAGAGGCAGAGAGGAATTCCGTCCTCTCAGTGAAACAGTGGGATAGTCGGGGCGACTATAGAGGAGGAATGTGCACTTTGGGTGCCAGCACCCATAAGCGAAGGCTGCCCTGAAGGAGCCTCGCTTGCTTGGGGCCTAGTGCACTCCTGCCGGGCAGCAGATGACAGGACGTGCTTTTCCGAATTAATGAGAGAAAACGTTGATTCTCCTGCTGCCCACGAAGGTGGAAAGTGAAGTGGGGAGACATGTGGGGAGTGAGCAAGGTTCCCTGCCTGGGGTTTCCAAATCTGCTGTTAGTTTCTTTCACTGCTGACTAGAGATATACAGGGTGTCCCCCCAAAATGTATACACACTTTGAATACCTACTAATTCCAATGGTTTTAAGCATAAGAAAGAAACAACAATGGAGCTGTTATCTGTTAAAAGTGTGGGCATAAACAGGACGTATGGAC